CTAGTTGTTCCCTCATTGTCTGCTCATCTTCTTCAAATTGAGGAAAGAAATTGAAGTCATCTGTATGAGAGTTAAAATCCCATTCTCCTTCTTCGTTGAAGATCACATCTCGACTAATCACAAACTTCTTATTGTCTGGATTGTACAACTTGTAGCCCTTCGAATTAGCATCATAGCCGATGAAGATAAAACTCTCGCTTTTATCATCAAGCTTCGTTCTTCTCTCGTCTGGTACGTGAACATGGGCTATACTTCCAAAGGTTCTCAAGTGGGAAATGCCAGGCTTTCTTACACTCCATGCCTCTTGCGGTGTCTTTCCCCATACACTTCTTGTTGGAGATCGATTTGACAAGTAGACTGCACACGATATTGCTTCCGCCCAAAATTCTTTGGGTAGTTTCTTGCTTTTGAGCATGCTTCGTGCCATGTCGAGGATTGTTCTATTCTTTCTTTCTGCCACACCATTTTGCTGGGGGGATCTAGGAACTGTCATTGGTCGACGAATTTCATTTGCTTCACAAAACTCTTGAAACTCCTTGGAAGTAAATTCTCCACCTCGGTCGGATCTCATGGCTTTAATCTTTCTGCCGCTTTCTCTTTCCACTGCTGCTTTGAACTTCTTGAAGACTTTGAAAACTTATGACTTATGTTTCAAGAAATATACCCAGGTTTTTCTTGAAAAATCATCAATGAAGAGAAGAAAATAGTTACTATTACCGAGAGAGCTCGGCTTGATCGGTCCACACACATCGGTATGGATGAACTCAAGTGGCTTCTTGGCTCTTGTCTCTGACTCCTTTGGAAAGCTTTTCCTGAATTGTTTCCCAGCTAGACATCCTTCACAAAGCTGATCAGGATGGTTGATGCGAGGTAGTCCCTTCACCATCTCCTTCTTAGATAGCAGCTCTAGACCTCCAAAATTGAGATGCCCAAAATTGAGATGATCAAGAACATTCTATTCTTTGACATCGGAGCTTTAGCAATGAAGTTATTCTTATCATCTTTTATAGAAAGATTATAATTATTCATATGAATATCATAACCTTTCTCTACCAGTTGCCCTAAACTTAAGATGTTACTTTTCATATTGGGCACATAGTAGACATTTGAAATAAATTGATGTCTCCCATCTTTCAAACGGATAAGAATGTTACCTCTCCCTTTCACTGCTATTGTGGAATCATCTCCAAACGAAACATTTCCGCTTACTGACTCGTCTAGCTCTACGAACATGTATTTCCTTCCACACATGTGATTACTTGCACCACTGTCAAGATACCAGGAATTTACTTGGCCACCATCAGTTTCCTTTCGTGCTAGAAAAAGAGTTTCTTTGCCATCTGTCTTTTCCTCCACGTAGTTAGCCTTTTCCTCAATTTTTTTGTTGGGAGCTCTACATTCTGAAGCATAATGCCCAAACTTTTGACAATTATAACATCGAACTTGAGATTTGTCACGCCTTGAGTTCGGATTGATTCTTCCACGGCCTCGTGTTGAGCTTTCTCCTTTCTCATAGTTGTTGTTGGAATTATTGTTGTTGTAATTCCAGCCTCGTCCACGACCTCGACTTCCACCTCGTCCATGGCCTCTACCTCTACCTTGGCCACGTTGGTTTCTATCATTGCGTTGGCTTTCATGCATATCTTTGAGTTGCAGCTTGAGGAGTTGCTCAGTAAACTCATGCTTCTTCTTATGCTTCTCTTCGTATGCTTGCAATGATCCTTGGAGTTGCTCGATCGTCATTTCTTCCAAGTCTTTAGTTTCTTCAATCGTCACGACGATGTGCTCAAATTTGAGATCCAACGAACGGAGTATCTTCTCTATTATCCTCACATCGTCTAACTTTTCACCATTTCTTTTTAATTGATTAGAAACAGCTACTACTCTTGAAAAATAATCTGAAATAGACTCAGATGCTTACAAGTTTAAGGATTCAAATTCACCTTTTAATGTTTGGAGACGAACCTTCTTCACTTGCTCGGATCCTTTGTAAGAGGTTTGCAGCTTCTCATACGCTTCCTTGCTAGAGCTTGCACTTGAAATCTTTTCAAAACCGTCATCATCTAATGCTTGATAGATGAGGTAGAGAGCCTTCTTGTCTCTCTTTCTTGAATCCTTCAAAGTTATCTTTTGATCTGGTGTAAGAGTAGCAAAAGCATCATCATCCGCAGGATCGTTATAGCCTTTCTCTATGATATCCCACACATCTTGTGATCCAAGAAGTGCCTTCATTTTGATACTCCAATGTCGTAGTTGTTGTTGTTGAGTGTTGGAACTTGGAATGGTGTCATACCATTTGTCATATCTCTCAATATAATGAGATTTTGTAAAATCCGATTGCACGGATGAATCCGGAACGATGAAAAAAAAAACTTTGGAGGGACTTGGACAACTCGGTCAAGGGCTCCAACTCGGCTGACTCGGCTCAACTCGGTGAGTCAACTCGATTTTCTGGCAGCAGTCTTCCGGCGGTGCGTGGCGGTGCGTCAAAACTCAGATTGAGAAAATTCTGGCGACGTCGGATTCCTCTCGTCGAGGCCTTCGATCTTTCCAACTCTCTCTGATACCACATTGTTGGAAATAAAACACTCACACAAACAACTTTTATTTAAACTCAAACAAATATTACAAGAGCACTCTCACTCAAAAACAAGAACTACAACTCAATCTTATAAGACTTTGCTTCTTCACTCACTTAGAAGCTCTTAATTTTTCTTGATGCTTAAAACTAAAATGGGAATGGGTATTTATACTACTCAAGAACAATCCTACACCACACAAATAAACTAATTTAAACCATTACAAATTCAACAAATATCTAACTCTCACCTAACTAAATTGATATAAGCAATGACATCATTACTTAAATGATGTAAGAAATGACATCTTTAATTAAATGATGTAAGTAATGACATCAATTTAGTTTGGGTTTGGGTTTAGGTCCCATAATAGATCAAGTTTATGATCCAACAGGAGTAAGGCACCGAGAGTCTTGGACAATCTGCGTTTCCACAACTGGAAGAGCTTTTCCAATCTTCACTGTTATGACCATCCACAGTTGCTAACAGGTGTGTCGTTCGATTTCCCCACCGAAGAGACAAATGAAAGAAACCTTACTCGACGCTTAACTTCCCAAACAAGAGCACATCATGTACATAAGAAGAGAGTCCACATATATTATTAGCGTAAAAATGTAAGATATATTTCAAAAATATCTTAAAGCCAAAAATAGTTTAATTAATAAAATTTGTTTCCAAAAATACCTAATATTATTAGAGGCCACATAATTTGTTTTTAAACAATGACAATTAGATTTTATTAATAAAAACAATACAAGTAATTATAATTGTGACATCCCAAATATTGAGAGGAAATTAGAAACAATTGTCAACAAAATACTCATACAAAACAATATTAAATTCAAAAATATGAATAAAAATGAAACATTCTATTGAGAATGATCACCAACATCAAAAGAACCTATTAACCTTAATAAAAATTTATTGTCTCTTTCTAATAAGATGCTTTACGAAGTGATAGCTAGCGAACCAAACTATCTGGTAGTCTGCTTCGCTAGACAATTATGATTATGTCGGCAAACAACCTTTTATCAACGAGGGAGTCTGACATATACGGCTACAAAAAAAAAACAAATCAAAAAATAAATATCGTGATGGTTTTTGTGCGAGCACCAAAACGACTACAAATGTATATGAAATACATATCAAAAGTCATAAGAATCATGTCACAAGAGCAGAAAAAACGTGTGCCACAAGAGCAAAGAAAAATGTATCACAAAGGTAAGGATTTTTATTCAAAATTAAAAAAAAATCAAGAAAAAATAATAGACATAGTAAAAGAAAGTAAGAGAACCAATAATTACCTATGATACATCGATAATCAATATTAAAATTGATGTCACAACTCATTAACAAAAATTAAAGAAAAAAATGAAAGGAGATACGAAAATATTGAGAAAAAATAGATTAAAAAAAGAAAAAGAAAAAGAAAAATGCGGTTAGGTTAAAATTATTTTTCTTTCTCCACACAATTAATAAACCAATTGTTATATTTCTAGTATATAATTTAACTTTTTAAGCGATAATCAACCTAAATATAACAATTGTGTAATTTAGATTTAGGGGCTAAATGTTAATTTTTTTCTTTCTATAGGTAGATATTCTTAGTAACATTTTGACACTTTCCTTTTAGTTTGGTTTATAGTGATTTTACGTTAGACCCTTTTACATGACATTTGGAGGAAAGAGCAAAACAAATCATGTCAGCTACTTGATTGGTTGTTGAGATATCAAATTAACACAAATAATAATTGAAGAATCTTTCTTAACATTAAATGCAAATTTGATATAAAATAAAGTTCAAGTACCAAATTGAGAAAAAATCAATAAAATTAAGTGCAATTTTTTATAATAAACCCAAAAAGAAAACAAGAGTACAACGTGTACGTGGAGTGAGGGTTTAGCTGGACAAGGAACGGATCAACCTGAATTATTTTCTTTCTAGGTTCTTTTTTTGAGTACTTCTTTCTAGGTTTGGTTAAAAGTAAGAGGCACGTTCCCTGCCCATTGTTTATTTTTCATTGTCGACTGACCTACTCAATGCTTGGATCTGTCTATTATTCTAAATCTACCGACGGACATGAAATTTTATGTTATATATAAATTTGTAAATATTTTAGGAGATAAACTAACTTATAAAATTTTTAAAATTAAAAATATATTACCAAAAAAATAAAAAAAAAATTAAATTATACGATAATTTAAAATTTTAAAAAAATGATTATCCTTTACCGCCCTTATCTTGGTTCATCCCTGTATGCAATGACAGCAAGCCCATTTCACATTTAGTCAACGTCAAAAATTAAAAAAGAGAGTCTTTGTTATCTACTTTAAAACACGTCGGTCCAAACCTAACCAACGTGAACCATTATAGTATTTGTTCACATTATCTTGTTAGGATACTAAATGAATGCACCTGCTACCACTATAAGTAATGGCCCTGATCCCCTGCATTCATTACCTCGGCCTCTTGCATTCTCTCCGATTGATCCGAACATAAGGTAGAGGTGTTCATAAGTCGGACTAGACCGGACCGATGTTTGGCATCGACATCATCAATTTTTATAGGAGTTCGGCTTAATCTGAAATATGTTTGACCTTTTTTCAGGCAACCAGATTCAGAAACAGCCATGTCTGCATTGCCGAATTCAACTCCTACATATGAAAATGAGGAACAAGGGACTCTAGATTTTAAACTACTTAATGCGGTGTACGATAGGTACGGAGGAGTCGTCGTTGAAGTGACTCGAGCTATGGACTCTGCCCTCTTTGCTTCTCTTCTTCGAGCTTCAATCGAGCAGTGGCGGCACCAGGGTAAACGAGGTGTGTGGATCAAGTTGCCTATTCAGCACGTTAATCTTGTTGAAGCTGCTGTCAAGGTGATTTCATTTTCATTTCGAGCCTAATTATCGAATTCCATATGTATAACTGAAATGACTTTTATGTTTAATACTGTATTTGCTGCTCCAGGAAGGATGTTGGTACCACCATGCTGAGCCAAATTATTTGATGCTTGTTTATTGGATCCCTCAAGGGCCACACACTCTTCCGGCAAACGCCTCCCATCGAATCAGCATTGGCGCTTTCGTAACGAACGAAAACCAAGAGGTACTTTCCCAGTTCCATGCACCTTGAAGATGGTTTATATGATATGTATGCTCAAACCAGCCTTCATTTCTCCCTGCACTGTTGATCATTAGGTTCTAGTGGTTCAAGAGAACACTGGAAGGTTTCGAGGGACCGGCGAGTGGAAGTTCCCTACGGGAGTAGTGAACGAGGTATGTGTATCACTGTCGCCGTAGATATAAGACCGCGATGCATGTGTTTACTAGTTGAGCTGTATGTTTCAATTTCATCTCCAGGGTGAAGATCTCTGTGCAGCTGCAGTTAGAGAAGTCAAAGAAAAGACGACTGTAAGTGCTAATAAGTAGCTATTATTCAGTTTATATACACAAACTATTCAGCCTTGTCAATCTGAGATGTTTACAAATGATTTTCAATGAATATATTCGTCGTTTTTCTGGTTCAGATCAACACAAAATTCATTCAAGTACTAGCTTTCGGGTACGAAATCTGCGTAATCATTGCTACTTGTAACCAAAACACAAGTATGTGTCTAAGAACACTTTTATGAAGCACCAGTAAAAAACAACATTCACTTTCTGCACCTCAAAGTAACACTAGCAGTATGCATTTTACATAGATACATACATATATGTATACACATTCATGTTTCATATTATTTACAGACAAAGCCACAAGGTATTATTCGAAAAGTCGGATATATTCTTCCTGTGCCTGTTGGAACCACTTTCTTCCGAAATCCAGAAGCAGGAATCTGAGATAGAGGCAGCTAAGGTAACTCACAGTGCAAGTGATAACAATGAATCAAGTCAAAACATAAAAAGTTTTTCCTTTTCTTTTAAGGGTGTCGTGTTCATCTCTACTACTTTATGCAGTGGATGCCATTCGAAGAATATGCAGCGCAGCCGTTCGTCCAGAAACACGAGCTCTTTAAGTTCAGTGTCGACATATGCTTAGCAAAGAAAGACGGGAACTATTCTGGCTTCTGCCCCGTGCCAACCTCAACTGCATTCTCCGACGAAAAGAACTACATGTACTTCAATACTCATGACCTCAATGGCCAGTATGGCTCCTAAAATTCTATGGCACTTATAGAATTCAAAAATCGAAATTCTTTGATTCAGATCATGTCACAGCCACCACTGAATAAAGATTCATTAGTTGTTATAAATTTCTTTTATTTGATTCAAGTCTCTTGTATCCGGATCGGGAGGTAGCAGGAATTAATAGCTTCATATTATTCATCAAGCTAGATAGCAACAACCATATCAGAATAAAAAATAAAAGCCAAATTTCTGCTATATATCAGGCAAACGGACAGACAGAAAAACATTAATTACCTCTTCTTCAAATGATGTGAGGAAGATGATGATCGGAACAAAGCGTAAGCCTTACGTTACAGATTAGATTATATATAATAAAACTGGACATTTCTGATTTGCATTTCGAGTCTTCATTCATCGCCGTCCTGTTTAGTGTTGCTGTGCATATGGTCGATTTGGTCTATTTAAAAACCGGACATCCTTCAACTGAGATGCCTGGGGCTGTCGGACAGCTTGCGAGAGGACAATGATCAACCTTAGTGCCCCACCATTTCAAGTTATGACCCTCGTTTTGTAAAGCGAAGAACAGTAAGACGCCCATGAAAGCTGTTCCTGCATCTAATGCTGCAGATAGAACATAGTTATATTTTTGCCACCACCGCTTGTGGTACTTGAACACAAAGTAGTTGAAGATGGTTCCGGTGACAAGCCAACTCGCGATGTTGGTGGGAGTTGCAGGTGGCATTCCGGCAAAACCATAAGATATAACCGGGATGTTTATCAAGGGAATCCATTTCTTTTCAGGGTAAATCTTGCTCAACACCCAAACAGGAACCGGCAACACCGCTCCGATAAGGAACAACCAAACTAAGTTACGGTACATCCCTCCTGGTCCGAAAAGCCTCTTCGGTCCAATTAAGCCCCATATAACAGAGGCGTCGAACGTGACACGATATTTAGGACAAGTCCATGGGCTATCAGGATGCGTTCCTTCAATATCACAGATGTCTTGAATGCCATCTAGCATCCACCAAGCAACTCCAAGGTTGACAACACCTGCTACTACAGTTCCCACAAGCTGGGAAAACATAAAAACTAGTTCTTTATTAATGTTTCAAAAGTTGTCTAAGATTTCTAGAACTAAAAGCTCATAGGCAGAAAGTGTACCTGAGCCGTGTACATGCAGCGTGGTGGGATTTTCATGTAGTGCCCAAGTTTGAGATCAGACAAGAAAGAAAGAGAATGAACCGTGCTGATCCGACCATAAATCTTGAAAAGCAGGTTCGCGATGGGCTTTCCGGGCAAGACATAACCGATCATGAACTGAGCTATAATGTCATATCCAGGTTGCTGCAAGTGGAAATGTAATTAGAAACCAGTTAATGAAGTCACCATTGCATGCAAGTAAGTAACTACAACGGACAACATAGCATACTTTACCTGGTTCGTAGTTGCCTGAATGACTCCGATCGGAAGGGTGACAATCCAGGCCAAACCAAAGGCAAACAGCATACCCCACCATGGCAACTGTACCTCTTTCTTATATACAAACGACATCAAAAGCGACAGAGCGATACTCCCGATTAATAAAACGTAAAACCACCATTCAGGAACTTGTTTGTACCTTTTCATCAGCTTTGCATGGATGTCCAACTTCACATTCTTCATCGCCGATCTGCTCTGCCTCATAATATCCCTACACAAAACAAAACCGAGAGTTGACTTCGTTTTTTCCATGTGATCACATTACTCAAAAAGTTTTAAAACAGCATAAATTTTACCTGCCATTAAACAATGCCACATGAGTGAGGGTGGCCGTGAACCGAGCAAACCCCGACCCAATCGATAAGGCAAAAAGAGGGCTAAGGTAGAGTTTTCCATAACTGTTATATGCAGGGATATCTAGCTGATACTGTGGTGTCAGGATCTTAGTTGTATCATATTTATGGCCACTGGAAGTAAATAACTGGTTAGAGAATATAGGGAATTTCCGAGCATCGAAGGTGTTATACTTCCAATAACAAACAGGAACAATGATGTAGATGAACATTATAAAGCCTATCCCGACATTGACGATCGACGACCAAGGAGCAACCAGTGGACTGCCATGGTAAGCCGATATCCCGGCCCAGTCGAGGGTGAATGCACCGACACCGAGTCCATGGTAACCGGACCCTATTTGCTGGGCAGTGATGCTATGTGGCCATGCCCAACACACCCACGAGAAGAATGTCAATATCGGGAATAAATAGCCTGGCAAAGCATAATATGCAAAGCTTGCCAACATCACAGCTAGAAAGAATTGCATCCGTGTCAATCCTTTCTTTTTCTCGTCCCTCTCATGGAGTGCTCTGAGAATAAAACATTAAAAAAAAAGTAAAACTACTGTAAGGCATCAAGCATCCATCATCTTCAGAATATAATCAAATACACAATCCATTTGTCAATATATACCTGTACTGTTCTTGATATTATATGCAGGGATTTAAGTTGTGATTATGGTCACGTTTTCGGTTGTCTTGCGTTTATCGTGATTGCGGACATAATGAACGTTATTGTTGTCATTGCGAGTGTAGCGATTATGCAATAACGGTTTCGGACGGAAATACTATTGCAATATAACCGCCACCATGTTAAAAACATACCACTATTTGAATCCCTGATTATATGTCTCATCATTGTGCAATTATATGTCCACACATATGAAATTAAATCTTCCAAGCATTAAACACATGCAATTGAAACGATTGAACTTTTTGCTAATGTGAGAAAAAAGGAGAGGTTTTTGTTATCATGGGACCCTTTGGAGGACCAGAAAGTCTTGAAGATTCTAAAAATTCCAACTTTTTTCTTTGTCCTTTCCATGAAAATTCCTATGGACCAATCCATAAAATGATGATGATGAAGGGTGAAAAAAGAAAGGGGATAATGATAAAATTATTTTGAACTTGCATAAATGGTAGTTTTGGTCCTTATTTTTATTTTTGGATTATTTTTCTCCGAATGTTTTAATTTTCGTTAAAATTCTCATGTTTTTGGAGTATTTTTCTCCGAATGTTTCAATTTTTGTTAAAATTCTCATGTTGGAAGGAAGTTAATTAATAGTCTGTTAACATGGAATTTTTAAATGTGTCTAATTTGTAACGTAACATTATTATGTAATCTAAATTGATAACGTGACCACTTCATCCAAAATCATAACATATGTCATATTAACAATTAAAAACATATTAAAATGTTACATCAGTAATGTCAGTAATATATATTAACCATTAATCAACTATTAATTTTAGATATTTTAACACAAAAATTAAAACATTATGAGCCAAAAAAATACGAGTAAATGTTGTAATTTTATCGTTATAGCAAAAATATGGGCAAGGGTATTAAAACACTGACCTAAACAGAGAAACCTGAGCCAAGTTTGATGGCCACCACATTTCTGCAGGATCAACCAGGTACCTCCTAAGCATACCAGCCCATCCATACCCCAAAATCTGCATAAAATCAACAGTGTTAATATTAAATTCAACAGTCAAAGTCTCGAAGATTTAGTAAACAAAAACAAATTTTAAATCATCTTCAAAAAGAAAGTGAGAAGAACCAAGTTTTCAACATAAACAAAATAACAAAAGTAGAGTAGCAGAAACAAGTGCTGTGAAAAAAATACCTGAGTAGTCAAGACAATAAGGATTCCACAGAGGAAATTCAAGCTCTGTTTATAATAAGCTTTCATTACAGTTATGGCACCAATGGAATAAGCATCGCCTCCTCCAAAAGACACCCCACAATTGGCGAAGATGGTGATGATAACATGCTCCTTGATGTTGAACGGCCCGGGGTTCAAGCTGAACCGCCGCCCGAGGAGGCCGTACTCGGTGGTCGGAAGAGTCCTGGCCATGAACTTGCCAATGGGCAAGACGGAGATTTGCATGAGGATGGCGGAGATGGTGAGTGGCTGCGTACGGTAGGTGAAGAAAGTGTTGAGGAAGATTAGGAGGACGCATGATGTTAAACCGAGGAACCAGGAACGGAAAGTCATGACAGGGAGGGAAGGGTCGTCGGTTTCCGGCACCACCAGCGCCACCTCCTCCACCGGACTCCGGTCTTCGTTCTCGGTGGTTTCTGCCCCATTTGGCTTCTCGGGGTCCGTTTGGGTCTTTGTTGCCATTGAAGCTCGGAAAAGGTTGAAACTTTAAAGAGAGAGTGAGAGATTTAGTAGTGTAATAAGTAGGCAAGAAATACAAGGAAGTCTCAACTCTAAGGTTTGGTTTTCATGTTGGAAAAATGTGACAGATTAATACGTGCTTAATATTAGGCAAGAAGATGCGCCTTGGAGGGGGGGGGGGTATGGGAACCTAAAAAGTGAGGGAAGACATACATGTTATGACAAAATTGTCCCTTCTTTTCACCACTTATTTTTTGTTGTTTCATTTTGATATCTAATTATTTTTTAAAATCATTTTAAATATCATATTTTGATTTTTTCTGTCATTCGTCGTTAAAAAAATAATAGTAATATTAACATAATATCATAAGGTAATGCAATGTTAGCATGGAAAAAATTAAAAACTATCACATTAATATTTTGTTTCTTTTTTAATGGTGTGTGATTAAAACGAAACCAAGACATAACGTTAATTATGAAAAAAATAGTTGAATGGTCAAAACAAAACCAAAAAATAAGTAGATGGGTATATATTTAGTTTACCCTTTAATTAATTGAGAAAAGAATTTTGTTTGAGTGTTTGGTTTAGTAAATAGTAAGTATTATTTGAAAATATATTTTAACTTTAAAACGGCAATATTTATAAAAGTTTATGGTATAGTTTTTATATATATAATTAAGGTGTATATTACAAATAAATATTTAAGTATATCATTTTTCAACTTAGTATTTAAAGTACCTTTTTTAAATAGGTACTTAATTATTTTTTATGATCAAAATAGATATATAAATTGGTTAAAATGGGTATTTAAAGTATTTTTTTCTCAAAATTACCTAAAGTATTCAATATTTTTAATCTAAATTCTAAAAAAAGTTGACACATGAGATTAATTAAAGAATATTTAGGTGCTTAGATGGAAAAAAATGAATACTTTAAGTATATATTTTGATTATACTTTAGGTATCTGTTTTGACTAAA